ATGCAGAATACAGCATGGCGATGTCTTATGACAACACCCTTAGGGTGGCCAGTCGTACCTGGTGAAATTCGGTGGAGTTTCACAACCCGTTTTACGCGAAATGGCGTAACACTCGGTGAAAAACGCGATATTCGCGATGATATGCAGTAGTCGTGAAATATGTTTCTCACTAGTGTTTTTCATATCACTAGGGGAAAACTCCAGTGTTGGAGGAATATATATGTCTGCTTTTCTCAGCTGAGCTTGAGAGTTTCCTCAATAGTTAGAGTTCAAGTTTGCATACGAATTCGAGTACAAGTGTACAGAACCCACTGAGAACTTCAAAGGCATTTGTCACCAACACATGTGTTTGATCATATGCATATTTTCCCACATTCGTGAGATTAGCTCTGGAAAAACCATCGCCCCCAGAGGACTCACCAGATGTGTACATGATAGTAGCAATGCTGTCCTTGCCGGGCAACACCGGGGGCCACTCTTTGATGACACTCGATCCACGTCGGAGCAAATCTTCGAAACTGATAATCTCAATGCCGTGAGTATCTACTTCAACCAATGGAGTTTCACCCGTTTACGTGAAGTGGCGTAATATTTAGTGAAAAAGCCGATGCTCGCGGTGATACGCAGGGGTTTGTAAAATATGTTTTTCACTAATGTTTTCAGTGTATTTTTAAGATGCAGAATTAATAAAGACAGAAAGAGCACACCTGCCAACTGCAAAGGTTTCATCCTCTCCTTCTTGTCAACTCCCTCATCAGTGTAGATGATATGCCTCAACGTGGGCATTGCCTCTCGAGCTTCGACGACCCCAGCCACCTACGCGTAATGCCAGCAGACCCTATTCCCGATTCTCACCTTTTTCCTGTTACACAGTAGAGTTGTCCCTTGGCCCTCCGTGAAGGCTTGGGACACTGCGTCGGGTCCCAACGTACCTGGCATTTTCAGTCTGGGTAGCGCTGGTGGTATCGTCAATTTACCATATATGGTAGTTACTATCATATTCTGAGACCAAGCTCCAAGGGCCGCGGTGATCCACTGAGCGCAAGTATCCTCGAAAATGACGAGGGAAATGGGCCCGGCCTACGAGAAAATCATTAACCTCGTTAAAGTTTCGCCGGTGTTATGAAAAACACTATTGCGTATCACCGCAAATATCGCGGGTTTTTCACAGAGTATTATGCCACTTCACGTAAAACAGGTGGAAGTTCTTCGAATCAACGATCAAACTCACCAAAGAATCGACATCGGCAACGAAGTGTGGCTGCGGGTTGTTTCCAATGGCACGCAGACCGGCTCCGAAGGCCAACACACGCTTATTGACTTCACGGTAAGTACCTGAGTTCACGGATGGCCCAAAGTGTGGGGGGGGGGCGAGGAAATATGCACATGTTCAGCTACATGTGTCGAGGGTGACGATATGGAAATTTTGGGAAATTCAATCGTTGGTTTCTGTATATTTCTACGCGAATCCGTATATAAACTCCTGAGCCCTGCTGAGGAGAGCGAACATGTATTCCTCCAACAAGACTTACGCCATATGGTCTTGCCGAACTCCTTCCCAGGTAAGGGCTGACCCATGTCGACGTAACGAACGAGCTCTCTAGTGCCTTGGCACTTGGAATTAGGATGGCTGAGAATACGTGATCGACTGCAGATTACGAAGAAAGGGGTGACCTTTTCACGGCATGAAGGAATACATCGTAGAGAGTCCGCACAGACGGGGCCCAAGGCAGGCCTTCGCCGCGAGCTGAATGGCCAGTACGACACCTTGCTGGGGCTTCCTGGGTGGAAAACGCAATATGGCGGGTTGGAACCGACGACCTGCAGGTGGATACCGTATTATTCGGGTCAGGATATGGACTCGGCTCTGAGTTCATCATCGTTGCTGGGTCCGTCGGGCCGAATGCTGAGCGGATCGGTCCAGCTGCGGGAACAGCCCAGGTGAAGTAGTCAAGACCTTTAACGAGCTCCCCGATCATTGAGCGTTAACCCAGGAAATCACTGAAATCGACAGCAAGATGAGGGCCACTAGAATCCTCCAGTTTGAGTATAGGATGTGAACTGACTCCTGCTCTGTGGTATTGACAATCCTAATGCCTCAACGTAATTATCCAGCATTATATTGATTCTCGGCACACAACGTTGTGTGAAATCAGTACCGCGAAAATTAGGATGTGGGGGTGGATAGGAGCCTGCGGCCAGGAATGACCACACCTGAGTCAGGTGTGACCTGACGATGCAACGAAGTTCGAGACGTGGACACGTGCTCAACAGTGAACCACTATCTGGCTATCTGGCTGAACTTCGAGTGTTTAGGCGTGCGCGACAGACCTGCACCGGCGTACGTTCAGATTAACAATAGAATGTTGGTTCCGGGCTCGATCCCCGGTCCGACCATTATTGCAGAGATTCTCACAATTAACGCCTGATGAGGCGTGAAAGGTCGTTCTCGTTGCTGAGTTTGAGTTTACAAGTTGTTCGTGTGACGGC